ACGGCTGTACCGTCGTACCCTACATTCTAACAGTTATAACCCATGTAAGTGACTGTCATGTGATGGTAGAAGGCCTTCCGGAAACGGCCAGTTGCAAAAGTTCTTGCAATAAAAAATGTGAAGAATATTGTGACAACACGATGAAAATAACAGTATTCCTATATCTCGTAATTCCACGGAGAGGTATTTTCGTTAAAAATTTGTAGTAAAAATCTAACGACTCAACCGTAAATGAAAAGTAACAAGAAAATTGTTCTGATCAACAACATTGAGTAATGTTTACCATTTCTGGTTGGCTTTGCGTAAATTTCCATCCACATCTATATCATTCATTCCGAATGAGCATAATCTTTTTCAATTAACAATATTGAGGCAGAATTTATATTATTAAAATCCTGTTGTAATCACTGCGATTGTTGTTATGATGCGCGAGATTAACGAATTTTAATGATTCGTCTCGAAGGACAAGAAAAAAATAAGCTACAAATAAACAAACGTGTAAATCAAGGTAAACAAGTTCATTTCGTCGCATTATTGAGTATCTCAAGCCTTTCCCTGCTCTGTGCACTTGATTTGCGGAAAATAAGCCCTTGTCCTTCAATAGTAATACTGAACGAAGGAATCTCTGGCAATTAGTTTATACACCACAATATTTTTTAAGAAAAAGTCTCATGGCATTTATCGTCGATGTTTTGATTCCCTAATTTTGCTTCCAAATTGTCTACAATATCATGAAACGTAAAAACAAAATCGATCTATTGGGATCATGTTTGCATGTATGTGTCTGATAACTTTACATTTCTGGCGAGCAATTTGCAAAAAAAATTGACATTTATACAGAGAATTTTTATTTAAAACATCGAAAATTTTCTTTAATTCTAGCTATGATTAAGGTTCATTATCATGTGGAGTGTCAGCTCGATCGGTTAAGTAGTTCCTGAGATATAACCACTTCTGCAAATTTATTTCTTCTTCAATATCTCAGAATCGACTCAACCGATTCAATTTTTTTCTATTTTCAAATATTCATTACGATGAGCTCTATCTAGATTAATTAAAATGTATATCCGTTTGAGCAAAACTTAACGATATTACCATTTTCCGTTTCTTAGTGAAAAATTATATTAACACGATAACATCTAACCTGAAAAAAATGACAGATGCATAGAGAGAAAAATGCTTTAAAAATTACTTGCCTCTTCCGTAACCTGCCAGTCAAAACAATATTCAGTAAAAATTACGGAACAGTTACGCACTTTTTCAGTGGACTTGCAGGAAAAAGTCCAGAACGTTCACAAAAAAGTACGGAATGTTCAGTGAAAAAATGCGTAACTGTTCCGTAATTTTTACCGAATACTATTTTGACTGGCAGGTTACGGAAGAGGCACGTAATTTTTAAAGAATTTTTCACTCCGTGTGGACACAATTTGTCCAGCAGTTCTGGAATTCTTGAATTTTTTGTATAAAATACATTTTTTCAAATATTTCATAAACTACTGGACTGATTTCAAATCCTTTCCAAAATAATTGTAGCCGTAATAGTTTACTCTAGTGAGATTTCAAATAGAACGTTTCCTTCAAACTCTGATAATTGACGCTGTTGTTTTCTATCCCATAATGGATCTCAGTCCAGAAAATTATAGATATTATACGTTATCCATGATAAGAACAATGAGATAATAACAAAGACCTGATTATTTGCGGATAACGATCCCGTGGTTTCTATCCTGGGCACAAATACTTAGGGTCATCTATTTTTAGGACATGTGAAATGGCGAAAGGATAAAAGGATAAAAGAGCAGTGACCATAACGCGGAAAACTACTGAATAAGATTGAAGTCGGTATTTATTAACAGAATTATTGAAAGTGAATCTGAATATATTGACTTCGATTTCAATTCACGTGCCAAATTTGTTATATTAAAACGATTGTAATGTAGCAAGAATTCTAGGACTCCATTGTTTTTTAAACATTGTAGTGCTACATGCCTACTAGAAAATGACTTGAATAAAAGCAAAAAAGGACCGAACAATATTATCTGTTTATACTTCCAACAGGCAATGTAATCCACCTTGAAACTCGCTGGAGTGACCGTCAATTGAAATACACGTATTCCATTAACATCTATGCTTGTAATTATTTGATTGGACGTTCAAGAAATTCTTTATACTTATGATTTCTGGAAATGTATTATCATTTGATCAATGAAAGTAAAAAAGGCAACTTTTTTGGGTTGTAAAAAGTAACTGAGTAGTTCTTAAGATATTGCTTTTTGCTTTCAGAGTTTTTATTATTTTTTTGTTTTATACTTGTACCCAGGAAATTCACTTGACTGTAGATACTGTAGGTACTGTAGATATTTACAATTTTAAGGCCCCTTTTATTTTGCGAGGATTACTTAGTGAAAGAGAAAATTACTTCCATGATTCGTATCTTTCAGACGTAAATATTTAATTATTTTGACAGACTAAATGGTATATTTTTCAAAGTTAGTTTAGAAGTAGTTTATGTGTAGTTTTTCATTTATAGCAGCTCTTGCCGAAGGTGAACTCTGTTCGCTTATAAGTTATAAGATATTTTATCAATATCTCTGGTATTGAATCTTATTCTTTATCCCATTGAGTAGAATGCGTAAATAGTCATTCCGAGCTGTTATCAGTGGTACACCCTTGAATAAGATAAATCCATAATATTTTGCGATAAACTACCTTAAAAAATACCATAGTACACGAGACCACATGACGAAATTTTTCATTAAAAAAGGCAAAAAAGCAGCAAGACAAAATATTATAGGATAACATCCTACAAAAAAAATAAGTTGCCCTAAATAAAAAAAAAAGTTGCGCATGTATCCCTGTTTTTCGTTTCACAATTAAAAACACAGTTACGCACACACACAGTAACGCAAGTGTATAGGCTTCAATAGAATATACCGGCACTAGCTCCTTTGGCAAGTGAAGAATGACAGAAATAAAATTCCCCTACATATCAGCAATGCTTGTATACCGGATGTAATATTATAATTATTCCTTGACATTTTCAATGAGATTAATAAAATTTTAATAACCTTCATAGCATAATATTTTTCAGGCATGAGATTCCGTAGTATTCAAAATAATAATATTAGGCCCACGAATATTTAAATGTAGTATGCCCCCTTTTAGGGGAAATTACCGTTTTTTGAAATTTGTCACAAATTGTTGATAGTAGTAACACGAAAAAACATACCAATAATAATAATAATTTTTCCATTCATCATTATTACATGACTCACGAAGTTTCATGAGCGTACAATAATTTTCCTGCGTTTTTTTCTAAAGATTTATGAATTTTTAAAAAGTTTGAAAAACAGGAAAATTGTAGCAAATGGTATACAACAATCATTCCGAGGGTTTTCGATTATTTTGGACAATTGGTTGCATAATGCATGCTTAATGATATTCATAACCCAATTTTCTACACATATTTAAGAGAAAATTGGGTTTTCCTCACGAATTTCTATCAATAGTAGTTTATCAGAATAGTTTTCATTAAAATGAGGGAATTGCGACAAAAAATTAAATTGAAATGTGATAACTACGGAAGGATATGACGAAACCTATTAATGATCAAAACCAATGCCTCGTAACGACTGTCATCGGATCACTATAACTTACCGTACTCATTCACAATAAAACATGGAATTTGTAACGGCATATGAATATTGCTGTGTCCCCTATGAATAATCATACAGCATAATGTTCAACAGTATTGGATGATATCAATCAAAATCTTAAAAATTATTTCAATTAAAAACGTTTAAATCGAAATAGTGTATTCAGGGGTTCTACGTTTTGAACACATCTTACCGTTTAGGCCCGCCATTCAGAGCTTGAGGGAATAATAACTATTCCGATTTTCCAATGAACTTTGCTATTGAGGAGGATATGAGGAAATTGAATTCACGATAATTAACATGGCTGATAGATTCATTCCCATTTTTCAACATCACGGTCATCATTTGTCGCATGCATTGTTTTTTTTTTTATTTAATGAGCCATCGATTTTTTAATTATCTCATCATTATAGTTTTTAATACCACGAATAAACAAGTTTTGTTCAGACATCCTTTCTCAAAAGTAGAAATATGACTCAATAGTAAATTAATACTGGTGATAAATAATGAGGTTTTATATCGATAGAATGCAATCACATTTACACTTTCAGTTGAGTTTTTAATGAATAATGGAACAAAGGAAAAAAATGAAAATGCAGGAAATAATTCCTGGTACGTGGGATTATTTCGTATTCGTTTTGTACATCGTATGTAGCCCCCTCCTTGAATGGATTAATAATCACTGATACAGAGTAACTTTAAAACAGCGGAAAATTCAGTGATTTATCAAATGTTATAGCAAAAGGTCAATTGCATTCTAATTAAAAATACGGGAACGGTGATTAATGTAACACGGAAATAAATTGAGCGAACACCTGAAGTAGAACTACCGCAGACAAACGTATTTCATTTTTTTTTTATCTATGAACGATCAGTAATTGTTACGGCGGATTACACTTATGGCCATTATCCTTCGACTGTCAATTAGATCAATGGTAAATAATTTGAGGAATACATGAATTAAACGTGATTACTTAGCTTGAGGCATTTGCATAAAAAAAAAACAAAAAATTGCATTCGTCATGAAAGAAAATAGAATCTTAAGAAAAAATTAAATCTTCAGCAAAAAAACCTTGAACAAAAATATAAACATTAAGTGTGTGGTTATCACAAACAAGTAATGGATAATTTTTGTTAGTGTGGAAAATATGATTTGGCATTATAATTTTGCAGAAGACTTACGTTTCATTTACGTTTTAAAAATTAATGCCGCGTCCAGAAAAGTTACAGAAATGAAAATTGATGGAATCGTAAGGAATTCTGACTGGAGCTAATTAGTTACTGTGAATCTATTAAATAATTAACGGAAAATTATTTGAAATTACAAGATTGTAGAAGACTTACGTTTCATTTAATGCGTTGAGTAGTAATCAATATTAGGGTATTCCTGATAAGACCCCTCGTTCACGTTTACTGGACCACTGACAGTGCTGAAGTAACATCAACTGAATGGGCCTCGGAAGACTTCAGTTTGAATTTCCACACTGTTATCCACCACCTATTGCAACCTTGCGTACAAGCCTCGCCTCACCAGCGATTGTTATCCGTTGCCGAGTGACTCTATCCTCCCGCCACTTTTACCCATTGCTTTTACGAACATTGTTGATTTTAATAATGATTCAAGATATTCCTACTTCTCCACTCATTAATTCAATTCCCAAATTCATGATCCTCTGAAATTTATGTTCTTCCTTTCTAATGTGTTTTTTCCCTTGTGTTTCACTTTTCTTCAATGGTAAGTGGTTTTTTATGAGGTTGAGAATGAGTAAAGAGAAGGTATTTTGTATCCCTCGAGGATTTAGTGAGTAGAGAGAGAATCCGCAACGGAATTTTTCTGAACGATAATGTACAATTTCAATATTGTGAAAGGAGCAATTAAATCATTATAGTGCATCGAATTTTTACCTTTATTTGAATCTTTCCAATATTCAAGGGTATCGCCGAAGTTGGTGTTACAATGTTAACTTGTAAGAGACTTCACAACAAAAAATGGGTCGAGATAAGCATGTGCTTTTGCCTTGAGGTTCTTAGAATATATTTTTTTAGTAATTAACTGTATCCTAGAATTTTCAAAACTATTTAATACACCGATTTTAATCAAAAATGATAAAGGATGCGGGATTAGTATAGAATTTTATGGCAAGTAATTTCCAAAATTCAAATGAAAATCATTGCCGATGCGCTAAAACTATTGTAGGTTGCTATAAATGACTGCACATATTTCAGGGACCGATCCGCATTTTTTTGTTATTTCACTCGGCACGCCCTAACCTCCTACTTTTATTGCCCTAGGGAGGTAAGTGTCCCCTTATCGTCTCCCTTTTCACCTATACGTCCCTAGAGCACTAAAAATACTCAGATAGTTGGACAAAGTGCAAAGTGAAACTTTTCAGCCTTTGCAGCATAAATTACTAATTCTTTCTGTGTCCAGATGGAAGCACTGTAATCCATCAAATGTAAGTTCCTAATTTTGTATGATATAATAACTCACTATTCTTTAAGAAGTCCAAAAGTGGAATTTTTAAAGCGTATACATGCGTATGTGTGCGCATGCGCATGCGTTTGTGTGCGCAAAAAATTTTTCAAACTTTATCTACGATGGGGAGCTAATATATCCCCAAAATTAACTCATTTCTTTTTCATATGTAAATATTGTAAAACCCAAGTCGTCAATATTAATTGAAATTCAGTTAATTTATTAATTGTTTATTTTTTTTAAATTATGCGATTTTCCATATTTTTTGTATCATACGTTATTAGAAAAATAACAATATTATATGTAATGAAAGATTGATTCCCCATCTATTTATTATGTGGATTCTTTTCCTATTCTAAAAAGGACAAACATCGAGACTATCGATATCTCGAAAGTCTGCCGCGCTTATTCCTCATTGGTTGACTCGCCTGAGGCGGCTAATTTGAATTTGAAACTCATTTAAATTAACAATTTTCCTATTCTAAAAAGGACAAACATCGAGACTATCGATATCTCGGAAGTCTGCCACGCTTATTCCTCATTGGTTGACTCGCCTGAGGCGGCTAATTTGAATTTGAAACTCATTTAAATTAACAATTTTTAATCACGATTTTTTAAATTACAGCGCGCTATAGCGCGCGTCCTTTCTCGTCATAATAATACTGAATATCGTATGTAACAATGGAAGGCTTATCGTGAAATGACTGTCGAATGCGGCAAAATTGAGAGAAGATTTGAGTGTCTGACGGGTGAAAGAATCGCGCTAGGCATATTCTATAGTAAATTTTATAATGCGATTCTATAATTCTATAATGATAATAACATCTGGCTGTTATTAAACGTATCCTAAAATATTAAATTTATTTATTCGTTTATATCAATAATTCCAGAATGAATAATCATTTGCAGTCAATCTATTGCGGATAAGGAATGCATAACGAACTCAATTGGCACAATTTTGATATATCTAGTGCCCATTCTGTTCATTGTTTTTCTTTCACACGTTGCAGCGACGTGTCAGAATGTTTGATGTTTACCACCATCCTCTGCCCGAAATGATACCGTAGCAATACCTTAATAGTGGCATTTCGATACTAATGAATATCTGCGGCCAATAAAGCAATATGTGACATGTATATAATTATTATATTATTATTAGCATATATATTGTTTCCGTGAAAGTGTAGTGAAGATTCTGTTGGTTGATGAGACAAGCCAAATTATTCAAGGACACTTGAGTTGAAGTAGTTTTGAATTTTTTTATTTTGTATTTGATTGCGCGAGCAGCGATGAAAACAAGATTTTGTTTTCCCATTTTTCGTGATGTCATTATTTTGATGAAGTCTAGTGGACGCTTATACGAAATAACCTGTTTGACAGATCTTGCAGACCACGAGAGAGGTTTTTATCGAAAAATGAATATTCTGTAATATTCCGAAATGTAACCATTTTCGCCGAGGAAAATCTTCGAAACTACCGACCGGAGAGAATATGATAAAAGCTTTTTGTAGATCTCACTCTACTCTATGACAAAAATCTCAACAAAAATTTTCGATCTCATTTACAATTCGAGGTGTTCTAAAAAAACGATTTTTTTTGGAAGCTGTAAGTTCTATCTTTTCTTTACTTCACTCCTGAATTGGTAAGAGCAATAAAATTGAAAAAAGCGGTTTCGTTAGTAACTTTCCTTTATTTTAAGATGAAATTAGAAATATTGCGCACCTCGTGCGCCGAATTTGGATTTTGCGGGTTCGAGTTGACCAATAGAGATTTAGTATTACAAGTTTCGAGATATTTCGCATCCGACGAACTTTATGTCTGTGCTTTCATAATACGGAAAGAAGAAGCAAAGAAAGTCTGGGAAACAGCCCCAAATCACAGTTTGAAACATCCTTTTCAACACACGGTGCGAAAAGTGACAACCTCACATCCCACACATTATGATGAAAAATACTATTTTTAGTGTTCGTCACCAAAATGTATAAATACATAATTCTCCATAAGGTTCCTTCATTTAATTCAAAAACACAATACATCTTTTGATCACCTCTGCAATAAAAAACATTTTGGATAAAAAAATATTGTAAAACAATGCATTTGTCAAAATGCCTTTCAATGGAAACCCAGTAGAAATCTAAAACGTAATAATTAAGTGTAAATAATTAAATGTAAAATTAAATGTAATGATTAAATGTCTGGATGCTATCGCTCAAAGGCATCACAGGAGACATTCCTATAACGTCCATACAACTAAGGACGGAATATTTCCGGTAGCGTGCCCCAAAGACAGGGTAAAGTGTCCGGGCGAGCGTGCCTAACAGAAGGTCGCCCTGGCGGTCACAATTCTCACTAGGGAAATATAACTTTTTAGTGACGGTTTGTAAGTGTCCTTATGTATGAATTTCTTTGGTTTTTCTCAATTCATTTCAATCCGACGAATATAACCCAATATATTCGTTATTATTAGTGATCATGTCAGTATAAATTCTAGTTCATTTAATTATTTAGCATAAAATATATGCTTTGTCAGAAGCATATTGAGCTCTTCGTATTTGTCGTTGTGTACATAAAACTGACATAACGATTGTAACACTGATGACTATATATTTCCCCCAATTTGAATGATTGCAGCATATTAATGTCAACTTCAGGATTTATAGCAATTTTTTCTGTGCAGTTTAATGCAGAAAATCTACTCCCACACGAGCTTCACCGTAATTGTAGAAATTATAAAAATTTCATTGTTTACTCGTGATTAGCCCCGAAGGTCAAACTTGATGATGGTGATAGACGGTAAATCCATCTGATGATTGTACATGCTAAACAATGAAATCCAAAGCGCAAGAATTATTATTATTATTGGGAAAAGTAATTATTACGGTGGCACGTTAGTTCTGGTTTTTTTTTTCAACAAACTTTGATAAATGTGGAGTAATTGTTACCCGGCTTTGATTTGATGCGTGAATAAAATTGTAAATAGTATAGAAAATTTCAGATTAGAGCAGGTAAGATAGTGGGGGTAAAACCGACTGCATTTCCCTTCCAAACAATTATTTTGGAGCACTGACCTGGTCACGAGAATGAATTTGAGAAAGGTCGACTGACGATCAACGGATATAACTCCAAAGTTCGAGGCTCAAGCATTCCACTGAAAGCAGTTGTATAAGTGAATGCATCCGATCGTTCCAATTGCATCAATGACCTATTTTCTTATTTATTTTCAACTCAACTGAAACAATACCTTTAGAATTTTCGACTTCCGAAAATAAAATATGCGAATGATGTTTTCTGGAAAATTCGAAATTGTTAATTAATTGCTTCAAGTGCCCGGGATGAACATGAAACTCATCTTAATTTAATCTTCACTTCACTAAATTTTTCCGAAAATGTAGAAAAATTGAGAAATTTATTCAATTTATTTAATTGAGTCAACAGTAATTTCAACAATTGCAAGTATCAGCGCACTTCATGAAAGTGGAACATTAATTATTTTCTGTTCACTGAAAGGGTTTCCATTCCATCCGAAAAATACCTTTCTCTCTGGGCCATAGTGGGGGGTGTCCAGTAAATTTAAAATAAAAAATTGAAGGAGTCAATCAAATCTTTATTAACTTGTCAACGTTTCGGGTGATACGTGATCTTCTTATGATTAAGAAAATTTCATTTATTTCCATTTACAAAGGCAAACAACAAATTTTAATATGATAACACCAGTGCCACTATGGAAAATACGACTATTATAATGCCACTGTAGTGATGAATTATAACCCAACGAGCATTAAAAATATCTTTGAGATTGAAAAATAAAATATCTGCAGAAAAAAACTTTTTTAATGGAGCGGTTAAAATAATTCAGTAAGATTTTCATGCCATTCTCTTTCACATATTCTCAAAATATCAATTGAAAATTACGATTCTGAGTTTTCCATTTTCATTTCTTTCAATCGTGGGAGAGTGGGGCTAAATGGAACGATGGAAATAAACGAAATACATGAGACAAGCGATGAATTAATGAAATTCAATGTTATTCTGCTGTGCTTCACTCGTCC